GCAGTTTAAGAGAAATAATTAAGTCTCTGCTATAAGGGCCACCAGCTGCATCTATAAACAAGACAATAAGTTATTCAGTTTGACAACATTTAATGAGTTTCTACATGAGATAAATCACTAGGCTACCTGCAGGAAATGAATGGCTAGATAAGAACACTTAATTTTTCTGATAGACTTCATGGTCTAGTCAGGAGAGACTATTAAAAAATATTACACAAGTAAGTTCTAAGTGTTTTAGTAGATGTGCAGTCAAATACTATGGGACAGAAAATCATGTGATTTTGATTGGAGGCAAGCTGCACAGTACTAATGTTCAGTAAGAGCAAAGGCACAGAGGAGGGTCTTATTAAAACTTCAGAGGCCTAATTACAGAAAAAGGTTATGGTGTCTCCCTCATGTGTATGTCAAAATATAAATAGTTCTAAACTGTGAATTAGTTGTAAGGAAGTCAAATAAAGATTTAATTTCTTTGGTGATTAGAAATATAATGCTCATGAAATATCAAATACACTTTTTTTACCTCATTGTTTGGTACCTATGCCTTGAGGAACACAGCATTATTGCAGAAATAAAAACAAGGTGGCAACTTGAGGAAGGATAAATGATGTGATAAACTAATCAAAATGAAAAGTGGCAAAAGAGGTAGTTTGGGAGTCCAATGAAGTGCTTTCTATGACATGCAAAGGACATCAGACTTTTTAAAAACTCATATTCTTATTTTTAAATAACTAGGAATAGATTACATGCAATATATTTTTAAATTAGCTTCATTCAAAAATGGTTATTATGAGAAAACAGTAGTAGTTTTTCAAATAATGACAAAATTATCTGAAAACTCATTTTAGTCCCAGCAGCCTCATTTATTAAGCCATTATTTCTATAATATAATTAGGTAGAAACTAAACCAGCAATAATAATAAATAAGTAAACTAGTGTTGGGTTTTTTTTTTCTGTTGTTGTCATTGTTTGTATATTTTTTGAGATGTGATATCATTATGCTACCAGGCTGACCTCAAAATTCTGGACTCAAGAAATTCAGCCTCCTTAGCATTTTGAGTAGCTGGAACTACAGGTGTGCACCACCATGCCCAGCAAGCTAGTTAGTATTAGTTTGAACAGCACTCAATTTGGCAAGCAAAATTCCCATCAATTATAATAAAAAATGTGGAGGTTGCCTGCAGTAAATCACTATTTATAAGAACAACCACAACAAGAACATGTGAGATACCTGAACATCCAATAGAAGAGTAGTAATCTTTAAAAATCCTGGTAGTGAGAAAATAGGTAACATCAACTTAAAAATCAAAGGATAGAAACTGTTCTT